CTATAATTACAAGAATAATAATTAAAAATTGAGAATGACAAAATATTTATAGAATAAAATACAAAGTTTGAACAAGTGTGAAATTGCATTTATTCTGAACAACTGTTTTTTATTATGCAAGGTGATATATTCAACTTGCTCTAATTATCCATAATATATTTTAGAAAGACAAGCTATCTAACAATCCCTTCTAAATATGTTAAGATTATTCCTACAGTTACTAATTGCATCTATCAATTATTCCTCTCAAAGTGAAATCGTTTGACTGAAACAACACAGTCACCATTGCTATTTTTATCTTTATCCAGCCTTTAGCTCAATGCACAATGCATAACATAAACTTAGAAGTAGCAGTGCTGAAAATTTATATGGTATGTCCTACTCAGCAGGCTTCTTGTTACTCCAAATATTCTGTACTTTAGTGCCAATCAATTCTAATTGCTGTAATCAATAGAAAGGATCTATAAGAAGTGTAACCTCCAAATTATCTATTACATCATCTCTTCTTTTCTTCATTTCATTTTCTACTTGGTGTACACTGTTGCAAATTTGTGTCAAAACTTATTTCATAACATATTTACTGCTGTAGATCACAGATTAACTAGTGAAATATAGAATAGCAATACTGTATTTACATTCACTTTTTAATACATTTAAGAACTTGCTGTTGCTGGTCCAGGGATTCTTAGTTGGAAAGAGCCCCCGTTACTACATAAACCATGAAATGAAGATGATGATGACTATAGTTATGTTTCCAAGCTCTATTGCCTTTATGAATTGGAGGGGCAATCACTGAAACTCCCATATATCCAGTGGAATCATATGATTTGAATTTGATATTCATATATAGATCAATATTCTTTATTAAAGTCATCACAATTAAAGTTAAAATATAAATGGAAGAATTCTACCAATATTTATAGATTTCAGTACTTCTCCATATGTACCCAGGCTGATTTGTTATAAAGTACAAACATACAAAGAAAATTTCAGGGCCTGTCAGAGTCTTAAAAGGTCTAAATGGCCATTCCAATTTACATAAGCTGATGTTGACTCATTGATTATGGCACTGGAGGAGAAGGACTGGCAGACCCAGGGGGAGGGGTGAAAAGACAGATCAGCCTAGAATCACTATTCAGCCACAAAAAAATGATGTTAAGAAATATCAATTTGACAGCAATCAGCCCAACCAAGGTCACATTTGAATTCAGTGTATAATGAGCAATCATTGGGCCATGAAGTCTTCCTTATGACTTGTTGAGACATTCTTGGAAGGGGATTACATAAACAGTGTATCTGTCAGGTATCAAAGACCAGGTCACATGTGAAGATTTTATTTAACTGATTTAGGAAATCTATATACCAGTGTATAAGGAACAAAATGGAAAAGGCCAGCGTATAGCAGAATTCAACATGTGGCTAAAGGAGTGGCGTAAAGGGGAAAGTTTTGGTTATATTAGTCATGATGTCTGCAGCTGGTCTAATGAAAAAGTGTACAAAAGAGATGGTTTGCATCCATCAAAAAAAGGGACTGAGTTATTTGGCAACAAATTCACAGATTTTCTGGAGAAATATTTAAACTAAACAACGGGGACAGTGAATTAATTGATACAGAACATTCCTGTCCCCAGCAATCTAAAAACTATAGGGTTATCGGTGCATGTAACATAGGGGTGTGTGGACAAGAATATCAACCTAGCTATCAAGCAAAATCAAGCTTTCAATAGTGAGTGCCACACCAAGTGCACTAATCAAACAGGTGGTAAGAAAATAGGGGAACTCAGGAACCACACAGGTTATGTAGAAAGTAAACACAGGGTCAATCAAAAAGAACTCAAATGTCTATACACCAGCGAACAGAGTATGAGCAATAAACAGGATGAATTAGAAATTCAGGTAAATGAGGGCAGATATGATATTGTTGCCATTAAGGAAACTTGGTGGGATGAAACCCACAAATGGAACACACAGCTAGAGGGATTCAAATTACTTAAAAGAAACAGACTAAATAAAAGAGGAGATGAAGTTGCTCTCTATATAAGAAATAACTACATCTCTACAGAATTAGAGCAAATCAATGATGAAAAGTGTCTTGAATGCATTTGGGTCAATATAAAAGGGGAAAAATGACATTGCCATAGGTGTATATTATAGGCCACCCAACCAAACAGAGGAAATAAATGAACATTTTGCTAGTCAGTTAACTAAGGTATGTAGGAAGCACATCATTATAGTAATGGGGGACTTCAATTACTTTGACATCAACTGGGAGACAAACTCTGCACCAAATGGAAGATCAAACAGATTCCTGACAAACCTAGCAGACAACTTTGTCTCCCAAAAAGGAACCTTGGGGGGAGTGATCATGCAATATTGAAATTCAACATTATGCAAGCACAAGCAATAGAACACAGTCAAACTAGAGTCTTGGACTTCAAGAGAGCTAATTTCAATAAACTTAGAGAGAGCTTGGGAAGGATTCCATGGATGAGAATCCTCAAGAGGAAAACAACTCAAGAACCTTGGGAAATTTTGAAAAGTGAGATAATAAAAGTCCAGTCTAGCACAATACCAATGAAGAAGAAAAATAACAGCTCTCAAAAGAAACCAGCATGGCTGCATAAAGAACTCTCTGATAAATTGAAAGATAGAGAAGGACGAGGGGGGACATGATAGCAGTGTTCCAATATCTCAGGTGCTGCCACAAAGAAGAGGGAGTCAGGCTATTCTCCAAAGTGCCTGAAGGCAGGACAAGAAGCAATGGGTGGAAACTAACCAAAGAGAGAAGCAACCTAGAACTAAGGAGAAACTTAGTATTATTATTATAAAAAGGACAAATATAACAAGTGGAAAGAGGGGCACATAACAGGCAGAATATCAACGAATAGCCCAAGCCTGCAAAGATGAAGTGAGGAAACATAAGTCTCAAAATGAACTAAGGCTTGTGACAAAAGTCAAAAATAACAAAAAAAGCTTCTTTCAACATGTAAAAAACAAGAAAAAAGTCAAAGAAATGATTGACCCATTAGTGGGAGAAAGTGGCAAGAAGGTGTTCTGGGCCCAGTGCTCTTCAACATCTTCATTAATGATTTGGATGAGGGGACAGATGGGGAACTCATCAAATTTGCAGATGACACCAAGCTGGCAGGAATAGCCAATGCTCCAGAAGACAGGCTTAAGATACAGAAGGATCTTGACAGACTTGAACATTGGACCCTGTCTAACAAAATGGTGAAAAAAGTAAGGTTCTACATTTAGGCAAGAAAAACCAAATGCACAGGTATAGTTTAGGAGATACCTTGCTCAATAGTAGTAACTGTGAGAGGGACCTCGGAGTCCTAGTGGACAATCACCTAATAAGAGCCAGCAGTGTGCTGCAGCTGCCAAAAAGGCCAACACAGTGCTAGCTCCATTAACAGAGGGATAGAATCAAGATCACGTGAAGTGTTAATACCACTTTACAATGCCTTGATAGGGCCACACTTGGAATACTGCATCTGTTTTGGTCACCGCGATGTAAAAAAGATGTTGAGACTCCAGAAAAAGTACAGAGAAGAGCAACAAAGATGATTAGGGGACTGGAGGCTAAAGCATATAAGAAACGGCTGCTGGAATTGGGTATGTCTAGTTTAATGAAGAGAAGGACGAGGTGGGACATGATAGCAGTGTTCCAATATCTCAGGGGCTACCACAAAGAAGAGGGAGTCAAGCTATTTTCCAAAATGACTGAAGGCAGGACAAGAAGCAACGGATGGAAACTAATCAAGGAGAGAAGCAACCTAGAACTAAGGAGAAATTTCCTGACAGTTAGAACAATTAACCAGTGGATCAACCTGCCTCCAGAAGTGGTGAATGCTCCAACACTGGAAGTCTTTAAGAAGAGACTGGACAGCCAGTTTCCTGCCTGAGTAGGGGGTTGGACTAGATGACCTCCAAGGTCCCTTCCAACTTTTATTATTATTACTATTACTATTACCTATTACTACTACTACTACTACTATTACTACTACTACTGTTGTTGTTGTTGTTATTATTATTATTATTATTTATAGATTTCTGGATATTAATCATGTAGAAGATTTTCATTAGGAACAAATTTTGGTTTTTTTGTTTTTTATATTCCTTTAAATAGATTGTTAAATACTGTGTCAAGAAATTGGAGAAAACAACTGAGACTTATGGATGCAGCCAGTACCTGGCAAATCTGATCACCACTGAATTGACCAGCTGGTGACTCTACCTCGAGAGCCAGTCAGCTATGATGATTTCCAGCAGAGCTTTGAAGATGAATTGCTCCATTCCTAATTTAGAAATGGAGGGCTTAGCTTCCTGTTTCAACAATACTCAGCAGTTAGGCATCTTGATTAATGCATCTTTGCCCACAGCCATATAGAACTAGGTGGCTGTCATCAGTAAAATAAATGGTAACTCTCCCCATTTAGTTTATAATTTGCATTTGTGCCCATGTTTCCACACTTGACACAGTTAGTATAAATTAAGCAAAACTATGCTCAAGTGATGTTAAGGTTAGACATTTTCCAGGTATACCTGTTAAGGATAACAACTTCTAAAAAATCAGGAACAAGGGAAGCTTCCATGACACACTATTTCCCTTTCAGACTTTCAATGCAAACTTACCTAGAAAAATGGTAAAGGTCAAGGAGAAAGACACTTGTTATCTGACGAGAAAAGATTTGGAAAATCCTCACCAGTAAGCTTTTGATGTGGCCACACCTATGAGAATTTGATCTCACAATGTAAGTAAAAATCAAATCTGACCACTTTAGAAACAAAGGACAGCTGAAAACACCCCCAAAAGGAATCAAGTAGTCCATTAAGTTGGATGGAATGAAAAACTGCATATAAGAATATTGATCCCTGAGATTTATAAATAAGGCCAGTTCTTGATTAACATTATTTGCTGAAATGATTTTAGTAAATTTTATGTATTCTCAGTTCTGTTTCCTTATAGATGTATTGGAGGATTCACCCACACAGAGATCTTAATGTGATGATAGAAAAACCTGTACTCTTAAATTACATTATACTGAGCGGCCATTCCAGAAAGCTATACTGGTTACTAATAGGCAATAATTCTTTCTCCTTTTCAAAGTCTGAGCTTTGTTCATGTATATTATTATATACACATACACATACACATACACATACACATACACATACACATACACATACACATACACATACACATACACATACACATACACATACACATACACACATATATATATATATATATATATATATATATATATATATATATATATATATATATATATATATATATATATATATATATATATATATATATATATATATATATATATATATATATATATATATATAAATCAATAAAAGTGCCTAGCTTTCGTCGGCATCCGCTGACATCTTCAGGGCTTAGAATACATCTTCTATGTATTTTAAAGGTTTTTAATATTCTTAAGAACTTTTATTTCTAAATTATTATTATTAAATTATTTATTCCCTGGTGCTCACGTCTATTGACTGACTTTGAACATGGATATACCCGGGGATCACATTTTTAAAGTAATTTCGGATATATATATATATATCCTTTAAAATTCTAAAAATTGGAGGGTGACTCCTGGGTAAATTCATGTTCGAAGGGTCACAAACAGTGAGACCACCAGGAGATTAAAAAGTTACCAAAGTTTATTGCTTTTAAAACATTAAAACACCTAGCTTTCGCCGGCCTCCTGACGGCTTCGTCAGGGTGACTAGCCATCAGTGGGGTAGCTGTTTTTATAGGAGCGGTGCCTTTTGCACCCGGCTCCTAGATCTCGTGACCGGGCCCCGGTAATCCTCTTGCGTTAAACTCTTAGTCGTTCTTCCGCATACTGCTGCGCTCCTAGCCTTCTCTTTCCCACCCCTTTTCTTTTCTTGCCTAGTTTGCTTGTCA